CTGAGCTTCACGAGGGTGCCGGCTCGCTTCCCCCATCTGCGCGTCCTGAAGCGCTTGATCAGCGCAGCTGCTCCGCCAACTACTATTTCCAGCAAAACATCAGAATAGTTGAAAACCGGTAATATATCGGGTGATGTGTAGTGCTGAATGTCCAGCAATTCGTCTCTGGTGAAACTGATTGCAGGGATATAACTAAAGACAGGACAAACTAACAAACACAAAAACAACTGCAGAGCACGCCACGAAGGCCGCCATCATCATCGGCGCCAGTAAAAATCTACATGACGATTACAACAAGAAATTCATCTTACTTTGTTTAGAAGATTTTTCAAAGTTTACATTACGGTTTACTGGGAGATACATACTGTTTAAAATAGCTTTACTTGTTTTAAACAAATGTTTACATTTGAGGTTATGGTTTGTAAAACTGGACATGCTTGATGTACCTCCCACTATCCCTTATTGCCATTGCTAGGTTAAATTTACTCAAATCAAAACTCAAGATTAAGATGGAAATTGGAAATGATAGCTTAAATAAATAGACGCCGCTATCTAAAGTAACCCTACTTGTAAACACACTGGATTTAATATAGGGAGTTTAGTGTGTTTGCACAGATTCTTGTGGCTTCTCTATTGCATAGTGTTGAGTGAAACCAGGGCAATGGCAGTTTTCCACTTGAAGTCAATTTCACTGCTTCAGTCAATATACAGCGCACTGGATTTATTAGTTACAGATTGAAGTGTTCTGCTTGAATATTTGTTAAATATTAGCTTATGCTTGGATTACACATTAAATAATAAGTCTTTGTTTGCTACGTGATTTATTTATTATTGATATGAGCAAAATAAAAGTACTTTTAGTTGTAAAAGATGTCCTTTAATAATACTTTTCTAATAATAGCTAATAATAGTTTTCTATTTACTTCTGTATCCTTAACTGGACCTCAGTAAAGGCCTAGTGGACATATTTCCCCATGAATATGTTACATTATTATTAGCTTAAACTACAAATTGATTGTGATTTTCCCAATTTGTAAGTTACTGGATGAAAGCGTCTTCTAAACGAATAAATACATTTAGTGTAGTTTACTTAATCCAATAAAAGCACATTAATAGATTTTTTTTCTTGTTAACACATAAAAAATGGTTTAAAGCTCTGAATGTCTGTAGTTGATCTCTACCAAACAACATGATTTTCTCAGAACATAAAAGCATCTACAGTCCCATCAACATGTTGTTGACATTCTTTGCCTCCTTTATTTGGAAAAAAAAAAAAAGCATAAATGAGGCTTGTCTTGGCTGCGACTTTATCCCACATCAAACAGGATGTTTTTCATTTTTATAGCCAGTGAGTAAATGGTTTGTAAACTCTGGCTGGAGATGCAGCAAAAAAAAAAAGCTGTGGTGGTGTATATTAAAGAGCAGTTACGAGGGCCACAGGTGTTCTCTCTGGAAAATATTTACCCAAGAGGCACAAATGATAGCTGAAGACTGTTTATGCAATTAGGAACATACTACTAGTTGATGTCGCTTGATTTTTAATTTAGATTTTTTCAAAGTGTTGCAAGCTCTGTTTGTCTGTGGGGGTGTATCCGTTTGATATAAAATGAAAGGAAAATCGCTTTTACACATACTAAATTGTTGATGTAATGGGTTTGCTGAGAATATTTGGTAAAGCCAATACTGTGGATTTGTGTGTAAGTGTGTGTGTGAAATGAGCGTCTCAGCTGTAAAACCATCTGTTGAAGTAATTTAGAAGTGAACTAAAATATGTCTTCACAGGACTTGCTAGCAACATGGTCAGTGAGACTCAAGTCTTTGTTTAGATATTAAATCAGCTTCTATTTCAGTCATGCTAATTAAGCCAAAGTCTACAACAAAAAGCCTCAAATCATAGCTAACATGCAGCATCTGCCGGTTAGCTTAGATGTTATGTTACTGTAGCTTGTATACTAGGTTATGTTGGGTTGGATGTTATGTTATGTTAGCTTTTATGTTATAGATTATGTTGTGTTTAGTTATATGTTATGTTAGGTTAGGTTATGCTACTGTAGGCTGGATGTTAGGTTAGCTTATATGTTATAGGTTATGTTAGGTTGCATGTTATGTTGTGTTATATATTAGGTTATGTTATGTTACTGTAGGTTGGCTGTTAGGTTATGTTAGGTTAGCTTATATGTTTTAGGTTATGTTAGGTTGCATGTTATGTTATGTTATTGTGTTATTATATACCTAATTTGCATTTAAATGTGTAAAATGTGCATGGCAACAAACTTCTGTTTTGCAATGTCCACAAGGCCTGAAGGAACTTAACTACTAACAGTTTTGGTTTAAAACATAGGAGGTTATTACACCGCAAAGAAAACTAGCTGCTTCAAAACATTTATTTACTTAATATATGATGCTTGTAAAACAGCCATTTGCTTCTACATCCCTTTGTCCTGCAGGTTTTCAGCAGAGTCCTACATTACAAAGTTTACTGAGGCAACGATTTTATACGGAACATCAAACACACATAAATGCCACATAATGTGGTTGTTTTGAAGTTTCAGAACTGTTGCGTTTTTGGTAAATAAAATTGAGAAAACAGCTGCGAGAGACGTGTGAATGTAAGCAGACAATGCACCCAGCCATACTAAATTTGCGTTTGAGCTTTTGTGTCTAGCTGGGCCATTTTCCAGTCACCTCTTGTGAACTCTTTGGCCACTGTTCTGTGACGATTACAGGATTTGTCAGGGCATGAGGATTTTTGGATACACTACTGTAGCGAATGTGATAAACACGCCAGGTGAGGTGACTGAACATAACAGTCGGATTTGAGGGGCCAAGTCGCGTCTTGGCTTCAGCTCCTGGAATCTGACCTGCTTTAGATGAAAATCGGACAGGTCAGCATTTGGATGGGATACAAAAATACCCCCTACTGTATCCATTCAGGGTCTTTGTGATCCATTCGCAGCTGGGACACACATCAGTGTGTGTGTGTGTGGACGAGAGGGTAGTAGAAAGAAGACACTGGAATGCAGTCGACGCCAGCTTGCTCTTTGGCCTTTCAGAGGTAACCAAGCATATCCTCCTAAGCCTTCAGCCTTCCTGCCTCATTCCCTAGCATAAAAGACCAAACCTTGGCCGAGTCGCAAAAGACAAGGAAAAAAAAGCGGCGGATGATTGGGGATCATCTTTTCCACTGTGCAGTGGTCCATCTATGGTTGTATCTGGAGACATCAGAAGCTCCATAACATTGTCCTACACTCATTAAAATAAAGGTTCCAGAGAGCGTTTTTTGTAGCAGCGTAATAGAAAAATAATTTTTGTTTCCCAAAAGTACCTTTCAGGGAACAGTTCTGAAAAGAACCATTTTTTGCATACAGTGAAGTATATTTCATTCTAAGGAACATTTTTCCACTATGAACCTTTTGTACGTTTCCATGGATATTCTTCATGGTTCCATGGAGGTTCTTCATGTCATTGCAAACTTGTATGACTTTCTTCTGTGGAACACAAAAGGAGGTATTTTGAGAAATGTTTAAACTGCTCTTTTCCATACAACAAAAGCAAATAGTGACCAAGGGATGCTTCAAAAAGAATGACAAAGCACCATTCAATGTGATGCATGCAACTTGTTTGCTGTAGTTTGTGTATTTAAGGATGTTTTGTTGAAAACTAAAGCTTTTGTATTCAGTCGTAATGAAACAAACATGATCTGTTTGGACCTGGAAGTCTTGATGCTGATAGCCTTCTGATGTATTTTGTGATTTTGTGGTGGTAAACTCCAAAAGAGATCCATGTGATTCTTGCTAATGTGTTTTTTTCTTTCTTTCTGTAAATCATCATTAACGTTGTCATAATTTTTGCAATGCGTGAGTTAGTACAAACAAACCTAAAACAGAGCTCTTTTCATACAATATATTGTTCCTAGTAAGGATGAAAGAAACTGATGCCAATCCAAGATCTGCAGAACAGATTTGAGGCAGAAAAATAACCACTGATGGCTTCCGTGAATTTGTTTTGACATTTTTTTCCTCCAATGATAAAGCAGAATTCATTGGAATTATGATTTAAACAGTCCCCGATTTATTTATTTAAATTTGTATCCCTTTCAGAGGCCAAAAGGAGCTTCCCTGCTGAAAAGACCAGTTCAGACCAGAATGAATTTCTGTTCTTGTCCAAATTGGCTATACTATGTTCTTCAACACTACAAATAATTTTTTTTCAACAATTTCTATTAATTCTCATAATGATTTGTTTAAAGATTGTGATATTTCACACAAGGTCTGGTAATTTTCTTACAGATAATTGCATTTGTGTGACCTGATATCACAATTACAACTTTAACTGACATATTTTGCAATGTAATTTCTCAGTATTTGGGCTGTAAAACTCAAAATTGTGCCAAGAGAGGGCCTCCAAAGTTCTTTCTTTCTTTTTTTTTTTTTTTAAATGTTTCTGTGTTCTGTTTCTTTTCAAAACAGCTTGGGCAACTGGACAAAGCTGCGTCTGCCGCTCATACGTATTTCCAAGCCAACCCTGAGCATGTGGAGATGGGAGAGCACTTGGAGCAGTACAAAGCCCAGAAGGGTGTAAAAGAGGAACACTTAATTGACCGGGAATCCCGCCCACACCAGGTGAGTGACTGCTGACCCCAATTACGGCACTGTTTGAAGCTTCTTGAACCTCTAAGGACACCCAACAAAGCCTGAAACACCTGAAACAAGTTCAGCATCATGAAGTGCATCTTTCTATTTACAGAAAGCCTTCTTTGCTGGGGTGAAGCTCTACGACAAAGGAAACTACGAAGAGTCCGTGACGCTCTTTGAAGAGGCTCTGACTGAGTATTACAGCGCCGATGTGGAGTGCCGGGCCCTCTGTGAAGGGCCGCAGCACTTCGAGGAGCAGAATCATGTCTTGTACAAATACAACCTCTACGAGCTAATCTCAGGTACAGATGCTTTTGTACTCAGAGCTTTTCTGCTTCCTCCTAATGTGGTAAAGCTATCATCTGTGGTCTTGAGAAGGGTCTGGGAATTTTCCGTTCTCAAGTGGTTCTTTGGGACTTTCTGTTGTGGATATCATGTTTCTGAGCTATTTGTGTTCCCAGAAATGGAGATCTTCCCGTTCTCCGACCTCTATGTAAGTCCTTTCTGAGTAGGCAAGAGTAGTGTTTGACCTAAGGGTTTTTTTTTTTTTTTGAAGTACAATCCGTTATTGTTGTGTCTGACAGGCAGTTCATGATAGTACAACAATGAACAGCTTCAAAGAGTGTGACATACGGCTGCCCTATACAGTGTTTTGAAAATAAAACATACAACTTGAAAGGCTTCTTTGGATCAAAGCTAAATCCACTTTTATGATTTGTTATGTATCGATACAGAAGCTGTTCATTTTAACTTCAGCCTGTGAAGTTACATGGGAGAAACTGGCTTATGTCTGTTAAGCATGCATAACATGAGCCATGTTTTGTCTGGATTGCATTCCTGCTCAAAACCAGAATACTGTTTGATATTCAGCAGGCCACACACAGTCCAACTGACCTCAATTTTAAAAAAGATAGCCATTTAAAGGCAGGGCAGGATTTCTGAAGGATCATGTGACACAGAAGACTGGAGTAATGATGTGACTGGAGAAAATTCAGCTTTGTGTCACAGGAATAAATTACATTTTAAAATATATTCAAATAGGAAAATCTATTTTAAATTGTTATAATATTCCAGAATATTTCAGTTTTTACTGTATTTTTGATCAAATAAATGCAGCATTGGTGTGCAAAAAAAAAAAAAAATCTTAACACCAACTGTAGAGTATTTAATTTATCACATATTTTCATTCATCATATTCATAGTTATTGACACAGAACTCACAATGCTGGCTAATAGTTTTAGCTGCTTTCAGTTTAGGCTGTCACATTTCAGTAAAATTGCTGTAATAGTTGCATGATGGGCACTAATTACAGCTAATATAACTAACTGACATCTTTTAACTGTGTGAAAGTCCATAAAAGTCAAACAGGGAGTCATAATTCTCTAACACTTATGTCATAACATCCCCCTAACATTTGGCTTAAAAACAATGCATGTCATTGAGCTGCCATAATGGTTCTTAATTATTGCTGATTGCATTCTGCTGATTAAGGAAGGATGTGAAAGACTGTTGCATGACTGACATTCATTTATGGCCTAAATGTAAAGGATTGGCCAATCGTGAGAGGACTTGTTCTTCATGGGGGTTGTCAGTGTTTCTGACGTTAGCTTCAGGGGGTTTTGTGCATGATGGCATGTCTCAGAGTTCAGCAAGGAATCCCTGGAAAATATTCGAAGTGATGTCACTGACATTTTCTGTCCGTTGGGTGTGTTTGTGCACATTAAAGGATCCGAGAGCATATGTGTATGTATGTTTTTTGATAGTATGCATTGACATGACTCTCTGCTACAATTATGGGCTCATTTTCTGCCATATTAACAAAAGGTCTTTTAAAGCAGATGGGTTGTTCTTCATGATTTTCATGGCGTCAAGGTTATCTTTGTTATATTTACAAAAGTAATCAAGAGCTAGTTACATTCAATTCAATTCAAGTTTATTTGTACAGCGCTTTTCACGATACAAATCATTGCAAAGCAACTTTACAGCAAATTAAGTTTCTACAATATTTAGTGCCTTTACATGCCTTTGTGAATACATGAATAGACTAACAGAACAAATTTGACGAAAGCCTCTCCATCCCATAATATGCCTGTTAGAGGGGTCATATGATGCTATTTTAAAGATCATTATTTTGTGTATTTGGTGTAACAGAATATGTTTTTGATAGAAGCTCTTACTCATCTTTTTAATTTGTGAATCTGTTCCCACTTTCATGTGGGAACAATCTGCCTACTACACTTGAAACCCTTTAAAGTGAGTTTAAAGTCTTCTCAGCTCTCTAATTTAATCCTCAACCTTGTCCACATGAAATACACCAGCATCTCTGGTTGCACATCTTTGATTTGATCCCAGTTAGATGATCTCACTTCATGCACTCTTGGAAAAGACATGGATCACATTCTCAACTGCATCAACCAGAATTACAGTGTGTTATTAAGCAATTAGATCCCGCCACGATGCCCTGTTTCTGTTTTTCCACAAGTACACTCTTAAAAATAAAGATTCTTTATTGGCATCTATGGATCAAGAACCTTTCCATTCGGCAGAAGGTTCTTTATAGCAGAAAAAAAGGTTCTTTAGAATTTTTTTTTTTAAATGTTCTTCAGACTAAATAAAAAAAGTTTTTTTTAAAGGGGTCATATGATGCGATTTCAATTTTTCCTTTCTCTTTGAAGTGTTACAAGCTCTTGGTGCATAAAGAAGATCTGTAAAGTTGCAAAAACTAAAGTCTCAAATCCAAAGAGATATTCTTTATAAAAGTTAAGAGTCACAGAGCACACCTCGCTTTTTCAGACCGGTGAGCTTTGTAAAAATTGACGCATTTCAGAAAGGCGGGGCATAGAGGAGAAACAATAATGTACAGTATGTGGAAAATAATGTTTTTTGAACCTTAAACCGCATAAACACATTTCATTACACCAAATACACAGAATAATGTTCTTTTTAGCAGCATCATATGACCCCTTTAAGAACTGTTCACTGAAAGAGGAACCAAATATGGTTCCTCTGTTATCACTGCAAAACCCCCCTTTTGGAACCATTATTTTTTTAAGAGTGTAATGGTAAATAGTTCAAACTCAAGCATCTGCATGTGTGTCATAACTTTTCAACTGGTTCAAGATAGAGAATACGAACTGACCAGAGGCCCCAAGCTAATTTGACCTCAAGACCCCTCATCTAAATCATGTTGAACTTTGTCTTCCAGATCATTACACACAGGTTCTTCACTGCCAGCATGAGTGCATCCGAGACTTGGCCACACGCCCCGGTCGCCTGTCGCCCATGGAAAACTATCTGCCACTGCATTACGACTACCTGCAATTTGCCTATTTCCAAGGTAAACCTCTATACATGTCAAAACTGGCTTGAATTAACTTTCTTGAACTCACCTTCACAACTTCTAGTCTTGGAGTAAAACTCATTGGGCTTGATTTGGTATCTGACCCCAATTCTCTCCTTGCATCTTGAACTCAAGATAGAAGATATTGGCTACAACACTACTGACTTCCATCAGTCAAATTAGAAGTAGTCTGTAATGGAAAGGAATTGTCAGCAGTAATTATAATCAGATTAAAAGCACCTTGAAAATTATTTTGAAATGACAAAACCTCATTAATCATGAAATTACTCACTCTAAAGTAGAGGGAGAATCTGATAAATATTTCAGACTTGACTGATTTCTTCTTGGAAATGTCAAAGCTGAACTTTTGCTTCCATATCAAGAAAAAGAGCTCCGAGATGAGAAATTTTAGTTTTACAAATACTGCTTGTTGTTCATAAAATGGCAAGTCATTCAGGTGTGTGTTTGCGAGTGCCGTCTCTGTTGCAAGTCTCAGAGCCGTGTGTTTCCACTCGCTCATCCCTGTGTGGTGTTTGTTCCATTGTGGTCACTGGCCTGGAATGCGAATGTTTCCGAGCATGTGGGTCTCCAAAAGGAAATAAACGTGACTGTGGGAAAAGATGACTCCAAAAAATCAGACAGCCTCACAGGATGTAAAATCCAATAAACAGAGCCCTGGTGGCTTCATCAACACTTAATAACTGGTTCTCTCCTCTATGTGTTCAGCTGGAAGGAATGAGAAGGCGTTGGAGTGCACGTTGACCTACCTGTTGTTCCACGAAGGAGAAGAGTTCATGACTAAGAATGTGGAGCATTACAGGGAAGTGCTGGGACATGATGGCCAGCCTCGCAAGGTGAGACATGGTGGTGCAACATGCAGAAAAAACAAAACAAATATAGCTGCAAGCAGCCATTAATGAGGTTCAAGCGCTTTAAGGCCTTTATGGCTTCTATGGTGTTAGGCGAAAGTGAAATGTATGGCTGACATCAGAACATATCCATGATGGAGAATACGATCACACACACACAGAGTAATAAAAGGGTTGAACTATATTACTGTGGTGCCTAAAAGTATATTTATGAATGAGTAATTCATGTTCATGTTCAGTTACTTGAAATAAAATAAACTTTAACTGAAATAAAACATAAAAAAGAAAAACATTTATGAAAAACATTTTGTAAAATAATGATTAAGATAATGATTAGGCTCAGCAGTGTTGATTTGATATAGTTTTTATTAATATTTTGAATTAGTTTTTATTTTAAATGTTGTTTTCATTTTAATTTTAAGTAAAGTTGAAGTAATTTTGTTGTGTTTTGTATGGAAGCTTGTTTCTGCCACTGAATAAAAAAAAAGTAATTGTGACTTTTTTATCACAATTTCTCACATATTTTTCCCCTCAGAATTGTGTGATATAAACTTGCAATTGTGAGTTATAAAGTAAGAATTGTGAGTTTTATCCTGTGGTGGAAACAGGCTTCCATATTTTTTGTCATCTTTATTCGTTTTTGCTGTTGTTGATGTTTAATATGTCTATATATTTTTTAATTTTTATTTCAGTTTTAGTTTTAGTTATGCCCTGGCAACTAGCTGAAATAAGGTTTTTTTTTTTTTTACTTTTTTTTTCAGTTAAAGTTTATTTTATTTCAAGAAACAAACTTTTTTTATGTATTTAGTTTTAGTTAAAGGGTTAGTTCACCCAAAAATGAAAATGTGATGTTTATCTGCTTACCCCCAGGGCATCCAAGATGTAGGTGACTTTGTTTCTTCAGTAGAACACAAACGAAGATTTTTAACTCAAACCGTTGCAGTCTACCAGTCTTATAATGGAAGTGAATGGGAATCACGGCTTTGAGAGTAAAAAAA